CGTGTTGGTCAACGTGACTGATAGGGACCTTCCGGTACATGTTCTATCACTACTAATAATTCAAGTTTTTGTTAGTAGTAAAAGTTCACATTGTAAATAGTTACTTCTCTTCTAGTATATTTTCATCTCTGTTGATCTCTCTTTATTGTGGAGAAGAATCACTTTTTTTTCTTGTGTCTTAATTGAGTACACCGTAATATCTTGCATTTGATCTCAATCAACATTTCTTTTAGATGATTAATTTTGAATAAATATTCAATTTCGTTTCTGAAATTATTAGTTAGTGACAAGTTAATTCCTAAATATAACTAAATTCTAAAATAAAATTTCAAAACTTTGATCAATTTAGTTCCTGTATCTATAGCCATTGTGTGACGTTGTTATCCATGTAAGAACATCAAATGTAAATCACACACACACACAAAAAAAAAAAAACTATGGTTTTAAATATCATTTTAATTTATTCTAAACCAAACTTATAATAAGTGTTTTATTTTATTTTTTGAAACTTATGATGAGAGTAATATAAGCAAAAAAAAAAAGGGGGGGGGGGGGGGGGCATGAAATGACTATACTATTTTGTCTTCCTAATTTTATTATTTCAATTATGTATTATTAGTTCATTTCAACATTTATTTCTAAGAAATTTTGAAATCATTTTAACTAATAGTATTTGCTATAGTTGAAAATTAATTTTTTTATATTATAATTACTGCATAACTTTATATTTATTTAATATGTATTAAGTACATATTAAAAATAAAATTATAAAAACTCAATCATCTAATTTAATTCAAATTATATTTAATTAGATTGAATTAAATTAAATTAAACCGTAAAATTTTTTTATCATGAGGTTAGATTTTTTTTCACTTAAAAATTAATTCAATTCGAGCCGTGAATATTTTTGTAAATGGGAAAACATTACTATGTTAAAGAAGAAGAAAAATGTAATTATTTTGATTTTGATTTTGCGCTGCTGGAGAACCCTAATCCTAAATTCTCGTAGGTGAGAAAAATCAAAAAGGGGTTTGTAGCAGAGAACGTAATCAGAATCCAAGTACCAATTCCGAAACCAGCCACCAACAGCAACCCAACCGATCTCGCTCTGTCACTTCCCTTTCCTCGGTACTCTCTCTCTTTCATCTAATTTAATTCAAATTATATTTAATTAGATTGAATTAAATTAAATTAAACCGTAAAATTTTTTTATCATGAGGTTAGATTTTTTTTCACTTAAAAATTAATTCAATTCGAGCCGTGAATATTTTTGTAAATGGGAAAACATTACTATGTTAAAGAAGAAGAAAAATGTAATTATTTTGATTTTGATTTTGCGCTGCTGGAGAACCCTAATCCTAAATTCTCGTAGGTGAGAAAAATCAAAAAGGGGTTTGTAGCAGAGAACGTAATCAGAATCCAAGTACCAATTCCGAAACCAGCCACCAACAGCAACCCAACCGATCTCGCTCTGTCACTTCCCTTTCCTCGGTACTCTCTCTCTTTCTCTGTGTTTCAACCTTTTTGCTTCTTTTTTTTTTTTTTCTCTTTCGTTTTTGTCCCAATTTCCCCAAAATTTATGACCATTTAATTCTGAATTGTCACAGCACGAGCGAGTTTAGTTCTCTATTTTTGTGCAGATTCTGAAGTTTTTCATGGGTCTGCGTCATAATAATTCATGACTTAAAAAGAAAAAAATAGCAAATTTACATGCTCAGGTTGAAAGTTGAAACAGTTGTTGTTTCTGTTGAGCGATATTTTAGCTTGGCATCTTTCACTGTTTATTTGCAGAGTAGCATTATTGGTGCTTCAACTCTTGTTTGTATTTATGATCATTGTGCTCTCCCATCATTTGTGTGTTAACAGTGTTTGCTTCGTACTATGAAGAGGACTATTCCATGGAGTGATGACGATGAGTCATCATCTTCACATTCAGACTCTGACCGTGATAGTGAAACTGGAGGGGAAAATTCCAAAGGTGTTATTTCATCTACAACCCCTTTTCTTTATCTAAGTTTTTAATTTATATCTCTGCTGATTGCTCAAGTTTGGTTCAATGTCAAAGTTATGCATAGTATCCCTGCAAATTTACTCACTTGAGTTGAACAATGGATAGACATAGGGGCTTATTGTGATTATGTCCCATGTTTCGCGTTTTCCTGTTGTTACAGTTATTTTCTTCGTGTCTAGAATGTGGATTGATGCTCATCCTAGCTAAATGAAACTCTGGCATTGGTAGTTCCTTTGGGTGTTGATGTGGAATTATGAATATTGCTGAACCTATACAGAAGGGTATATTGACCTTCGTCTGAAGGTGGATATAATGCCCCTTGGTAAAATCACACTGATGAACCATTCTTAAGTATGTGAGTTGCCAAAGATCATTTCTAGGTTGGCATTTGATAGCATAGAAGTACTAGCTAAAGCTAAAAGATAATTGAGGGATAATCTTATGGTAGAGAATTGACCTAATTTGATGATGCCCGGCTGTAGAAAAGACTGTTCATTTCTTCCTGTTGTGGACAGTGTTTACTAGTAGATTCAGTTGTTGAGGATTCAAACACATCCCCAACTTGCGTTAGTGCAAGTCTGCAATATAGTTCCTGATCACCATGCAGTTGCAGTTCCTAATGATAGCCTGAATTAGAGGAGTTCATTCTGATTTCTCTACATACATGCATAAAAAGGATTGACTAATTTAAGTATACAATTAATTATGTGAACTATCGTACTTTGTGACATGGTGTTGGTGACATGAAAATGGTGACATGGTGTTGGTCCATGAAAATAAATCCATATCACCATAGCTTCACGTTCTGTTGCTTTCAATGTTTGACATCTTGAAACTTGTCTCGCTATTTTTATTGTTGTTTGTATTTTCCCTGCTAGTTTTATGAATTTTATGTCTACATACAGGTAAGTCTAGGAAGCAGAAAAGTGGTGTAATTGACTTTGAGGCTCTGAAGCGACACGGTTATAGAGGTGGACCTTCAGTGCTGAAAGTACCCCAACCCAAAGAAGATGACTCGAAGCAAGATTGGACCTGGTCCACTGGGAAAGAAAAACGTGTAGAGAAGGAAATTGAAGAGTCATATGAAGAGCGACAGAAAACAAGAGAGGCTATTTCCCTAGGAGAGGAGCTGCCAGCTGTTCTGACTAGGAATGACAAGAAGAATCTTTCTTTCTCTCAGAAGGAAAAAAGGAAGAGAGAGCTGGGTCAAGCTAGCAGAGGCAAAAATTATGTTGAAGAAGAGAAGAGGTTGTTGAGAGAGAGTGGAATCTATTCTGGTTTTGATGCTTGATATATATACTATGCCAGCCTAGAATCCCCTTCATCTTGTACAAAAGCACTCTCTCATTTTCTTGTACTGAAATCTGAAAAGACTTGGCTGTAACTTGTGTTTTAAAACGAGACAGAAATGAATTGGGGGATAATCTACTGTGGTCTCAACTCAACAATAAGAACCATCTTAAGTAATCACCAAGCTTAATTAAGTATGTTTTGTTGTAGTAAAACTTTTCTTTTGGAGGAATTGTTTCTGGTGTTTGATTTATTTCGTTGAGGTGATTTTCGAAACAAGATTTTTTTTTCAATGTATTTTAAAAAAATATGAATGGAGTTATAATATGCGGAGAATAATAACTTTATATAGATGGTCAGAATTTAAAATCACATAATAATTACTTAAAAAGAAAAAGTCGTGTGGCATTTTAAAAACTCGCATGGCTAGTATGTTTTTAATTTAACCATTCATGGTAAATTTTAATTTTAACCATTCGAGCAAGTCTTATTAGATAAATGCGTATTTAAGTTATTTATCCAAGTGTATTTATTTTGTGTTTGAAACCCCAACAAAAGAAAGAGTATTTTGACATAACTAAGTGTGGATAATTTTTAACACTTTCTTATAAATTAATATCAACTTATACACCTTAATTTATGAAGGGGTTAAATGAACCAAGCTTTTTTAAAAAAAATAAATTTAGAGGCATAGATTTATATTAATTTATGATAAAAGATTAGTTGACTCTACTTTCTTAATTCATTATATTTTCTTTTCTCATAAGTATTTATCGAAAATTTGACCCAATTTAGATCATAATTCCAACTTATTTTAAAAAGAGGAAAAACAACTCATAAGAGTCTAAAAAAAATAAGTTTGTTTGCAATTTATTGTTGTGTATGAGATATTTCAAAATGAATAAGTCTCACATTACATATAACTAGTAATGTATATGTTTATGTACAAAAGTATTTCTTAGAAGTAACTAATAGGTGGTGAACTCGCGTCCATAAGAATTGATCTTGTGGACTTGTTACATTTTAAATATTTGTTAGTTAATATTTATTTGAATTTTTATTAATTAATTATTTAATAAAAGTTTAAATTGAGTTAAAATATTTTGTTGACAGTCATTGTTTAAGAATATTTTATGGATTTTTCTCATTGATTTTTGTTTGATTTTTAGGCAAGCTTCAAACTCCCTCAGTTCAAATCTCTTATCTCTTCTATTTGGGTTCGGTTTCTTTGTGTCTTGCTGATTCTGTTCTTCAATTCATATATGAGAAATCTTTATTGTTGTATCTTGAGGAGCTTGTGCAAATCTCATTCTTAAAATCAGTGTCATCATACACTTCAAGAAAATTTACTAACTTTCTGCTCAATGTTTCAGGTAGTCTTGCTTGTGACGTCAACCATCTACTCCAACATCTATTTCGTGTAAAAACAAAAAATTAACATTCCACCGGAACTAACTAGGAACACAACAGGCATGCAATGCATAGTTTTCACTTATCTTACACATAAAAAACACTAACACTTACTTTCTTTCTCATTCTATCACATCATATTACTAATCATACTTCAAACTTTTTTTTTTCTCTATCTCTTTTTTTTTCCAAGATCTAGCATAGTATTGTCCTTACATCATTACATTATTTTCTTAGATTTATCATCGGAATGGATTTCCAGATGTTGCCTTCGGTGCTGCAACAAATATACAAATAATAAGTTCAAAACTTCGAAATTAACGAGGCAAAATCTAATAGTGTGAAAACCATTACGTGCTATACTTCTTTTGACCAACAAAGTGAAAGTGTAATTTTTGGCTCTATACTTTGTTAGGGTGAATCGTGTATGTTATGCAACAAATCCATATATTTCCTTTTTCTGTAATTGCTAGGACCCTTGTTTCCCCAAGACACCTGAACATTAGATTTGTAGTTGGAATATGGTTCCGACTATCACATAATTTGAACCGAGTGCGCATCTCCCTTTAGAAGGGAAGCCAACATAGAAGAGAAAAAAGATTTAGAGCAGGTGAGAAGAATGCTAATGGAAGAATATCTAAAAATGAAGCAATATATAGCTTTGTTATTAATGACTGGAGGAACCATTTTCTTTATTGCAAGTATATTTCATCTTTTGTAACTTGAAAAATAGAGTTACAAAGGTTGTTCAGCACATAATCAACATCCAGATGTCCGGTTGTCCACCTACGTTTAACTATCCATCCAGATGAGGTCCCCCCTTGACAATTTTTTTGGCGTAAAGCTATATTCCACGTGTTATTTTATTGATCCTGCCCAAACACAAAACAATCAACATTACTAATGACATATGTAGTGTGGATACCAACACAAGATACAAACATATAACAAACATCCAACAAAACTTGACGTGTCTCGTTAGAATTTGAAATGTTATGACGTTTTGTCCAATATGTGTCTCACATGAATATGACTCCTCTTTTCAAGTGTTCATGCTTCATAGCTGATGACCAATGTGTTTATGTTTATGAGAAAAGGTAGAGCAGCAACAAATGAGGCATCTCTTTTTATGATAGCAAAACCAAACATTTACACAAACTAATACTACATGTTTGGCACTTTACACATTTTTCTAGATAAAATTAGTAGAAATTAGAAAATAATGAGAAAAAGAAATATCAGCTTAAAATAATGAGAAAATGAAATATCTTCAATCTCAATTTAAAGAAACCTACTTCCTTATCAGACTATGTAAAGTTGAAGAATTAAATAATAAGAAAATGCTAGTTCAGCAAATAAATGTTGCAGAAGAAACATACTTTATGTTCCAAGGGTCGGCTTGTCTGAGTATGTTGAAAATGAGAATGAGGAGGAAGTATTTGATTACACTCACAAAATCCAGATAAATTTTCATTTTCATCTACACTTTGTTATTTTTACCTATTCAGCATACTGCTATACTCTACCCACAAAAAGAAGTAAACATCAAAATAAGAATAAAGAGAATACATACATATTATTATTGATACAAAGTGATGCCATCATATACGGAAACATAAAAGTGCAACAATATTGCTAGTACAACCAGACCATGGCTAATGCAAAGAATAGCAAAGGTAATTAACTAACCTTTACACTGAAAAGAACACTGCCATCCGAAACCTGTTCACCCACTGTAACTTCAAGCCCATGCACATAGCCAGAAGATGGTGCTTTTACAACATGCTAGAAAAGGCACAGAATGTTGTTGATTATAACTTGCTGAATAGATAAACAAAGAAGATAAAGAGAGAACTTTCCAACATTCACAGAGCAACTGTACTAACCTCCATCTTCATTGCTTCTAATACTAACACAGGCTGTCCTTCCTCCACTCTTGTCTTGTTCTTCACTAGAACCTTAACCACCAAGCCTGCCATGGGTGCAACAACAGTCCCTCGGGGGTTGGCTGATGTTTCAACTTTGGGTTTATGTTGTGACTCTTCATCCTCAGATAGATCCAAGCCAAGTTTCTCTCTGAAATAATGATGATAAGAGCCTTGCCAAATATGAATATGCCGTATTTCATCCTGAATTCGAAGGAAAACCATATTTGTCTTGTAAGAAATTTATTTGACAGTCAAGACAGATACAGCAGCAAAATGATTTTACCAAATCAATCCACATAAACTCCAAAATCATCTATGCAGAGGAAAGCACTTACCTTTGAGTAAACAGCTACATTAACATCATTAATTACACCACCAGCTTCAACTCTAAAATAATGATCTTCAACATATGTTGCTTTGACATCTAAAACATGAGATCCATTTTCTTCTGTCTGGAAAACACAATATCCTCTTGAATCAACTTTCTAGATAATTAGTTTGTGGAACAATTAAACAGAAGAAAAAGTATTATCTAATACAGTACCTCAATCAGGTATCTCCCATCAGGCTGATAAGTGATGGTAAGCTTCATGATCTTTGAGCTATCACTACCATATTCATTATCCCACTCAAGTTCCATCTTACGCTTCGCTTGATGATGAACTCTAAAAGGTGGAGAAGAGTACCATATCAGGAGTAAGCTGCTGCCCCCTGAACACACAGATGTAAATACCAAGGAAATTTACAAAAAAATTAAAATTAAAATTAAAAAAAAAAACTCAGAACATTACACTGCAAGAATGGGACAGTTTACCAGGGGGGGTTCTTGCCAATGTGAAATGCTCTTTCTCAATAAGACATGCGGCCACAATTGATGCATTAAGTCTAGCAGCTTCATATGCTTCTTTCACAGACACTGAATTGTTAGCATCAACAAAGAGGTCTTCTTTGTAGTTATCAATAAAATGAGTCTCCACATTTCCATTTGCAAATGCCTCGTGATTAGCAAGCTTTAGAAGAAAGTTAACATTGGTTGGTAGGCCTGCAACCTGTGGAAGAAGATATTAGCAATTTAAACATGGTGCAAGATTTAAAAAGGCAGAATACATCTAGGAAAAAAAAAAATTAAATCTCTATCGTATATAATGAGGAGTATGAAATGCCTTAGGGTGTGTTTGGAAGTTGACTTTGGGAAGGGAAGGGAGGGTAATTTTTTTTATTAAATGTTCTCTAATTTTATAATTTTTTAAAATGAAAGATAAAACAATAGATTAACATAAACTCAATGTCCTAATCTTTTGTTTTTTTTTTATAAACATTACCCAACTCTCATAATTTAAAAAAAAAAAAAAATTGACCTCCCTTCCCTTTCCCTCCAAAACCTAACTCCCAAAACAAACCCTATGTTTCTTACAAGTCTGAACACTATATAACCGCACCATATCCACCCTTGGCCCCAAAGGTTATAAATAATGGATCTAACAAAGGGTAATTAATATAACATCTCACCACAGAAAAAAGCCAATTTACTGCAAACCTCAACCAAAATCATGATAACTTCACAGTTCACTAAAGCAAAGGCAATACAAAAATTTAAGCATACCTGAAACTTTGACAAACTATCCTTCAGTTTAACCAAGGCAGCTGCACGATTTTCTCCCCACACCACAAGCTTAGCAATCATAGGATCATAGTGCATGCTGACAGTGTCTCCTTGTTTAACTCCAGTCTCCACCCGAACTGCCAAAATAGCAGGTTCTCAGCAAGTAGAATAAAAAGACCCAAAAACCTATATTGAATTTTTGTGTTCTTCCAACCAAAGAAATGTGGAAAATCTTCAGATCCT